CAATGTGCTGGAAAAAAATTCAAGTTTATTGGATCTTAGAAAACATGATAGTTAGTAACTGAATGCTTTTTGAATGAAGTGGTTTATTTTTATAAGAAATATTCCATCTATTCAATGTCAATCTTATGAAGAATTCAGGGTTGCCAGAGCATCCGAATTTTTCGGAAATTTCCGAATTTTCTAAGTTTTTCTAACTGCTTTCCGACTTTTCGAATTCTTGAGATGTTTCCGAATTTTTCCGAATAGCAGTATTTTTAAAATTTTCTGTTTGCATTACAATTTTCGATAGAACTTTTGATAGATTTCATATTGCGCTATCTTTACTTTCCTGTAATTATTAGGTAATTGATTTTATTCTTACAAAAAAGAAAAGAAGGGAGAGAAGATTCAATATGATAAGCATTTTTTTTTTCAAATCTCATCTAAGATTTGTCAAAATAGCTTCAATGAATGCTTGGTTTTCGAATAAGTCATAAGAATGAATAGTATCTCTAGAAAGCGTAACCTAAATGAAAATGAGGATATTGTTTTACTTTTTAATAGTTATATTTTAGAAAAATTGTTGAATAATGGTGCAAGAGCAAATGAATGTGTTCAATCTGATTAGCTACGTTCATATTTTTTAAATATTAAACCAAATACAGCACCGAGTTTGAAACTCGTTGTTGACTATGTATTTTCTATTCCGTGTATGGCCTGTCCAAGCGTGACGGAATCACGTTTTGTCACTTTGCTTTTTCAATATCTCAATGAAATGAAGTGCGATAAGGCTGAAATATTTATAGATTATGGAAGTCTATTTCCTCTACATATATTGAAAGTTTCATTTGATTTCCAGTTTCTTTTTCTACTTTATATGGTTGAAATATAGGGTGTGACGGAATCACCAAAAATGGACTTGAACTTTCAGTGTTGTTCAAAGAATTAAAAAACTTAGCTCAACTATAAATGTTATGAGAAAAGTTTCTCTACAGAAGTTATAGCTCAGATGTTGAACTATATATACAAAAAAAGAAAACTTGAAAAATACGCAATGGTAACTTTGTGGATAGAAAAAGGAGTCGTGACGGAATCACGTTTGAGAAATGATGATGTTTTTGAACTTGAATTTTCTACAGAAATATAAAGTTAGCTCGACAGGTTAAACAATCTGATGTCATGCATACGTAACGAAAAGAAAACATTTTCGGCAGGGGTGGCACGAAGTCGTAAACATTTGATGGAGGAGGTCGATAATATAGGAAGTCGTTAAAAAATTTTTCTAAAGATGACCAAACTTTGAAGAAAGATACAAGCCTTCTTTTGCAAATTGTTGAGTAAAAAGAACGAAAATAACGTAAATTTTGCCATAAAAAACGAAGTTTCCTAGATTGGGAGTCATCCTTGCTTCTCCGCTGTGGCGACACCCCTGATTTTTGGCCCTTTTTTCTGGTAAATGAAAATTATTTTCGAAATTGTCTATCATACATTAGACATTGACACGTAAAAGGAACTGCATACCAGCGGTAACGAATTCTAGCAAAACTTTACTCGATGAAGTTCACTAATCTGGCTGATATTTTCACAGTACGTCGGCCTAGTGAAGTTAGGAAGAAATTAAAATTTTCATCTCAAACGACGGAATCATTATGAAGATATAGATGTTACAAGTATACGTATTTAGATACATTTGTAGTATCTTTCGAGCAATACTTATCTGTTAACTTTGATTTTCTAAAGAGCAACAAGAGTTGTAATAGAAACTTTTTTTTCTATAGATACTGTCGAACATATTCTATCGTTTTATGAGTTTGAAACTGCTGTGTCAATTCATTTTGCGGCTAATACCATGTGGCATCGGTAGAAGTCATATCCACTTTGGTACGCAAAATTTTTTGAACAAAGCCAAAATGGTCGACATTGCCCTATGATTCTAGCAATACAAACTGATGATTTATCTCAAATGTTCGGTTTATGTAATTTGGAAAAGAATCTATGTTGAGAAACTTCTAAAGTCCAACTCTTAATTTGTTTAGACATAATTATGAAAGATGATAGAAGATGTGACTTCTCAAATCTTAGTGCCTGCTTTTTGATTCACTCAATACTTCAAACATTTTTGAAAGAGAATGTTCTTCATTAGGAAATCACTTTCAAGTTAGAAGTGCTGGTATCATATCCCATGGACGATAGTATCTATGGTAAAGGAGCCTCTATTACAACTCTTGTTGTTCTTTAGAAAACCAAAAGTTAACTGATAAGTATTGCTCGAAAGATGCTACAAATGTGTCTAAATGCTTATACTTGTAATATCTATATTTTCATAATGATTCCGTTGTTTGAGATGAAAATTTCAGTTTCTTTCTAACTTTACTAGGCCTATCTACTGTGAAAATATCAGTCAGATTAGTATGATTAATTGAGCAAGGTTCTGTTGGATTTGGCTTTGGCTTACGCACAATGCCTTCCAAATTGCTTCTGCAAATCATGTGATAAAAAATAACTGGAAACTATCATAAAGTGACTCCGAAATGAGCTAGCCGGGCTGTACAATCAGCTCTACACATGCTAACATCTCTTTAGAGCCACAACTTCAGAGAAAGTTAATGGTTCCAAGTATTGTGAAGAAAACCTAATCGTTTGAGGGTGATTCCGTCACGACCCACTTGATCAACCGAAATGTTTGGAAAAACAGGCAATCTACTGGTTGAATAGAGCGCAAAAAACTATGTTTAGGACACTGCTCTTTAGAATGAAAAACTTCATATTCCTGACTAAAAATGAAATGAAAGCTATTTTCGTGACGAAATCACCTTCACCAATGTATTACCTTTACAGATATAAATAAGTTTCTGAGGAAGTGATGAAACCTAATCATTTTGTTACCATTAAGTATAGTATCGAAAGCATTGTTGGTTACTGTGATAAGTTTTCGAAAAGCTATATTTATTTATATAAAAATTCTTCAAATACAAAGCCGTTATAAATATTGACTTTTCTCGCTGCTAAGACATGCCTCTTTCGTGGCGCAATCTTCTCTAATAAATATCATAACAATGTAAATAAAAAATGTATTTCTATATGTTATCGACATCGCTCTACACAATGGTCGTATTAGTTTCGAGTAATTGAATAGGTCAACTTCGCCCACTAAGGTGTACCGTTACGTGGACAGGCCGTGTGATGGAACTATAAAAAAAATATTTAAATCGTTCAAATTTCTGAGGAGCTCTTCGTTATTTTTTTTTCTTGATTCGAACTTTTAGAACGCCTTGCATTTCTGTTATCAATTTCAACATCTAAATGACCTGAGCAATTAGCCTATGATGAATGAAGCATACATTTACTCATAAGTCTTAGGAGTCTGTTTGAAAAACTGATGCTGAATAATTTTGAAGATTGTCCTCTGTTCATGATTATGATTTTCATAGGATTTCGAACAATCTCTTTCGTTTTATATCATTTATAAATAGCATCAAGTCTTTATTTAATCTTTTTTGCCAATAACTGGCAGAATCTTTGAGTTTTCCAATCAGAATTTTTCTTCTATGCATCTTGTTTTTCATTGTCCAACGAGATGTGTTTTTGATGATAAACTTCTTCATTAGTCTAGACACATATTTTAAGTTATTAACTGTATTTATGATATAAAATACTAACTTGTCCTAATAGTACACTCCAAAAATTGCTTATTTCAGAAGATGATTTAAATCGTCGACAACCTGCTACTAGATTATATCCCCATTCTAATTGTAGAAGTTCATCATCAGGAAAACGTCGTTGAAAATAAATATGTACAAAATCAACAAGAGATATTTTTATATTTTGTTTCGAAGCTGTCGTAGATTTTTGTTCAAAATCATATTCAAGCTTCTATAGTAATTAAAATAATTGAATTTCTAATGTATTTATTAAAAAAAAAAACGAACTTGTTTCCATATATCTTCAATTAAAAGTGAAACATCTCTTTGCATAAAATGTCGATTACGAATATTTGATGTTGTTTGAAGAAATTTTGGTATTTTTGGATCAAGACCAAGACCAATAAAATTTACAACATTATTGTACTATATATATACATTCAAGGAGAAAAAATTTTAGCACAAAAAAAATATTTTTTTTTGTTTCATATACAATATCATTGCCGCCTATAATTTCATTAAGTAAAATATCTACAAGCTCATTACTTGTTTTTCCAATAGCTAATTCATTCCAACGTTCTATTCCACCTTCAATTATTGATGCACATCGTTCCCATTTTGGTCTAAATATTTATTTTTACTTAAAGTATGTTTTTTTTTCTTAATTTTATATACCTAGGAGTTAAAGTAGCACGATAAGTTTCACATAATGTAAAATATTTATCTCGATCTTTAATTAAATACTCGAGTGCTTCTTTCAATGCACTATTATTTTAAAAAGTGAAGTTATTATTATTTTCTTTTTTACTTATATTAAATGCATACTTATATTCAACTTTAGCATTACGAAAATTTTGCTTTAATTGTTCCGATGCTTTAACAAGTTCATCATATGTTTGTTGAAGAGCAACATATTCATTTTTAGGAACATATTCTTTATTATCTTCTTTTAATTTATTTATACGACGTTCAGCTTCTGCACAATCAAGACGACATCGTCTAAATAATATGAAGAAATTTTTATTTTCTTAAATTTTCAAGAAATTTTCTTGAAAAAAAACCTTATAGCTACACGAAGTAATACTGGATCATCGAGTACAGTATTTAACATAGTATTTATATATTCAGATGTTTTACCGATAAAACTTGTTTTTAAATCTTCAATATGCATATATTTTATTTCTGGTGATAGATCTGTTGTAGCCATGGATGATTTATTTGTTTCTTCAGTATTCATGTCTTTAAAACAGTTGATTTCAAATTAATTATACAATGTTATCACATATTGCTATCAATCTTTATTTTAATTAACTTGTTTAAATAAGAAAAAAAACCATACAAAAAAAACAGCGAGATTAAAAACAATAAACAACATTAATTTTACTTTTGAATATCAATTTTTTCATTTTCATCTACACCTTTAGGAATTTTAGTTGCTGCTGCTTTAGCCATTGAATATAATTGTACCATTTTACTACTTGGTGAATCCCAATATTCACCATGATCAACGGTTACTTTCATTAATATTAAATCTGAATCATTTAGTCCTTAAGGAAAAAATACTTTTAAATAAGATGACCAAAGTTCTTTTATTTGAGCTTTATCATCAACAAATTCAGCTTTACCACTAACAGAAACAAATGACATTTCATTTGGATCTGAATAAGATACACTAACTTGATCAAGATTTTGTTTAACTTCTTTAACTTTTGGAGAAGATCCTTTGGTAAAAAACCATAATGTATCATCCCAATTGTCGACTTGCCATTGAACGTGAATGAAGACTCTTGTCTGATTCAATGGTTGTACTAACATATTATCATAGAAATAAATCTCTTATTAAAATTAATCGTTATTTACATCATAGCATAACGAACATCTTTAATTAAATCAAATAATTTCTTTATTTTATCATCATTAGTTGTTAAAATAAATGCGAAAATTTGACGTCCAATTAAATTTACATTTTTAAATTGAAATAAAGTTGATTTAATTAATGATTGCTACAAAAAGAAAACTAATATATGATAGAAGATTCATATAAATACACTTACCGCAAATCGATTCATAGTTATATTATTAAAACAATTTATTTATACATTATTGCCGAGAAATAAGAATACGATGGACTTATCAAAGTAAATATAAAACTACCAATTAGTTTTATATGTAAGAGATGGCATAAAACACTCTTTATCTTTAAGAAACAGATGTTATCCATTTAAATGATTCAATAGAACAATATGAAAATTAATTTTTTTTTTCTTTATCCAAAAGATAAACATAAATATAGTGAAACAAAATCTTTCGAAACATCTGCAATATAAATCTCATTTTAACATCAGTTTTTCCCCTTTTTCTTTTTCTTTATTGACATTGTTATCTATCTGTCCTTCATTCATTCTATTATTTCGATGTATGAACAATTAACACACGTACTAGATTCGTACATCTGTGCAAATACAAATTTAAATCTCACAAATCGATGAGTGAATTTACATGATAATATAAGTATATGATTACATCATCATCACAAAAGAACACAAAACAAAATTCTTAAGTATCACTGAACAAGTCGATTAAAGCAAATCTTTGTTTATTAATGTACTTTTCTTTTAATTAAGATAAATAAGTATTTATATTTAAATAGAAATCCATTTTACCTGATATATTTTCTACTTCAGACATAAGAAGAAAAAAGGCACCCTGTAGCGATAATTGACTACAACTACGTACGACTAGTGTCTCGACAACTTCTTGCATTAATTGTTATCGCATATAAAAGTCTATTAATTGTCGATCGCTTTATCGAAGAAAAAAAAAAACAGCAAAAGGAAAAACATATAATAAGAATTGTTAGATACGCATACACCACATACACACACACATATACATGTATATGTCGATTGATCTGACTGTTGATGTATACTGTTCATTGATGATTTAGAAATATGTGTATATGTGTCATATTCTATGGGTCATATGATAGCCAAGGAGAAGTGCAAATAAGATCAAACTCATGGTACATTGAATAGAAACAGAAGAACAATTATTTGATACAAGACGTTGCTGTTGATGATGTTGTAATGCGCCTGAAAAAAAAATAGACAAAAGAATAGTTGAGAATGTATGTGACCTTGATGTATTAATGAAAAAAAAAAAGAGAAACGATATATCTTGACATTCTTTACTCATCTGGTTTTTCTCAACAAACCTTTTTCAACAAAAATTTTTGCACTTCTTCGTTGTCTTTTATATGTACATGTCCATAAACCAGAATGATATGGTTGTGCATGACGTATAATTAATTGTGATTTAGAAATATTTTTTTCATTATGATATTTTTCATATATATCATAATGGTAAATATTATATTTATGTGTATGATTTAAACTTGAAAAATGCCATGTTATTGATGATGTATTTATATTATATATAGTACAATCTAATTCAACAGATGAACCTGGTTCAACATATAAACGTGAAGGTTTTATTGTCATTGGTATTTGTACTTGTAAATGAATTTGTATTGATACACTACCACGACGATTTGATATTTTACATTCATATATACCTTCATCAGATAATTTTAAATTTGATATTTCTAAATTCCAATATGAACTATCTAATAATATTGAATATGATGAAACAAAATAACGTGTATCAGAATAAAATACTTGTTCACCAACAGTTAATGGTAAATATGTTAATGTATTTGAATCATATTTAAGCCATGTTACATGATGATTACCTAAATTTTTTACATGACATGTTAATATAGCTGTATCGGATATATTTAATGTTTGATTATATGTTTGAGTTAAAATTTGTGGAAATTTATTATTTGAAATAACAGCTGCTATCAATCCATGAATCATTATCATTAGTTGGGTTACTAAAACATAGAGAATAAACAATGGATAAAAGAGATAAAGTTGATCCGCTCACGTTTACTGATTCTACTCAGCATTGCATATAATAATGGCTAATGATGACAAGACTCTATGTAAACGAAGGGTCAATCGTACAAACAAAATATTCGTGGCATTTTTTGTTTTTTTTTGTTCACATAGAATTAACCTTTTGTATGAGAATATGACATATATTGAACTCAACTCTATTCTTGCTAAAATGATATGGATTAATTAAGTTCGAACTTCTATGTGACAGGATAACAAAGACAATATAGTCATCTATCACAATTAGTTTGTTGCTCATCTTCTCACTAACAGAGACATTGATGAATTGTACAGATGTCTAGTTATCACAGGAAGAATAGAAATGTGTCGAAAAGTAAGAGCCTTCATTATCGCTATAGACATCGACAGACTCATTTATTATCTTATCTATTGAATATGAACTGGGGAGGAACAAAATAATGAAGACAAACTTTACCTAAAAAGTAATTTATTGTTGAATTCATAATTAAATTAAAATAATAATAGTTATCATTGTTTAATAAAATAAGAGTAATAAACTATCTATTAACTAATCGCTGCATGTTAATCATGTTTTTTTATATTAACTAGAAAAAATGATTGAGTGAATGAATGAACGAAGAGAGAGGGAAAGAAAAAAAGATGATTATGACAAGCACAGCAACTTGCTCGTTCTCTCTTTCTCATCTTTTCGCTTTCTTTCTCTCACTCACACACACTCTCTCTCCCTCTCTCTTTCTCGTTTGCTTGATGTACTTGTGAAGAGAAAATAAACTTTTGGCTAATGGCATTATACTCACTAGATGAATGCAAAAAAAAGATTAATAAAAAAACAACGATATTCACTTAAAAGAAAAATATGATTGATTATGAACCTTGGCAGATGTTTTTTGCTTTTGTCATTTTTCTATCATTGAAGTTAATAAAGAGACAAAACTTTCGATACCTTTTTTTCTCTATAGGAAAAAAAAAATTGTTAAGGTGCAATAAGCAAAAAAAAAGAAAGTTAATGGTTCAATAGTTTGCATTTATTATTATAGATTATAGAGCAGTGAACACCAGTCGCTTTTTTTTTCTTATTTCTTTTATTCTATATAGAATGGTAACATAATAATTGACCTTTGAATTACATGCATACACACACTTTTAAACCTTGTACCATGCGTGAAATTTGATCGTTTAAGTTTTCTACGACATCATCTTAAACTAAGATTCGTCATTCTCAGTTACATCATTATATAGTTTCAACTCAATCCATGGTTCTTAACATGAATCAAGTGACTTTGTTGCTTTATGACCAGCAAGCAATGTACATATATATATATATATGTATCAAGGATGAAAAAGATCAATCGTATCATGTGGGAAGTAGTGTCATTTGTTCTTATCGACCTTTTTTTTTTCTAGGACATACAATAAATATAAAATTAGTCGTGCATTGAAGTTCTTTTTTTTGTTGACAATCAAAACGTTCGGTGTTAATGTTCTTTTTTTCTGTTATTCTTGCTGAAATGCTGTAGCTGATGCCATCGAAGACAGTTTATTATGATGCGATGAGTGAAACAGCAACCATGCACCCCTTCTTTCTGAGATGATATGTAACGAACATGCACATATTTATATATATATACACATACAACGGACAGTTTGTTGTTATTCAGAGCAACTATTGCATGCATGTAGCATCAAATTGTCTGTTTGACATACATTTATTTTAAACGATTTCTGAATAGAGGACTGGCTGGCGCAAGGCGTAATGGAGGACGAAATATATTATTATTATTATTATTATTAGTGGTCGAAGTTGAGCGAGGACGATCTAAGTCAAGAAAGAAAAAAAAAAGAATAAAAGGAATAAGAAAAGAAAAATCATTGATTTACTTGATGTTGATTCATTATTATTTGAATTTAATGGACGAGATTTCCTTTGTAACGATGTAGCTTTTTTCAATGGACGAGCTTGAGTATTTATTGTCGATTGAGCTGAACGATTAGGTACCGCTGTGACATGACGACGAATATTCCTTGGTCGTCTTAAATAAATGAAACAAAAACGAAAATCAGTTATAAAGAAAGTGATAATTAAACAAACTGATATTCTGATTGTCGTGGTAAATTATCAGTTTTTACAGTTGCCGTTGGCAAAGGATCAATAATTGGTCGTTCTATTGAAAAATCTTTTGCTATTCGTTGATTTATCTAGAACAAAAAAATCTTTTTGTTTTTTGGATATAAAAATTTGAATAAATACAAACTCTTATTGTTCGCATTTTTTGTGATTGTTCATGACGAATAATCATGGATATTTGACGAGTAGATGAATATTGTCCAAATATATCATGAATTTCATCTAATACTGATTCAACCTAAATTCAATAAATAAATTTAATAATTTGCATAGATTTTTATTTAATCTACTTGTTTAATTAATTGATCGATTATATTAATATCATCTGGATCAAGTCTAGTTTTTGTTTGTAAACATTGTGTTTGAAAATCAACAGCAAATTTTCTTGTATCCTTTATAGAAGAAAAAAAAAACAATCAATAAATATTTCTGTTTAGAAAAATTTACATTTAATGTTTGAATTAGTCTTTTAATATGTTCTGTACGAAATAATTGTCTTGTAAGATGTCCTTTAATAAAAGCTCCTAATTTTTTATGAAGAATATTTTGTGCTTCCTAAAAAACAACAAAAACAATAATAATTTAAATTGATTTCTTTCTTTTTTTTATTACTTGACGAGTAAATCGAACACGTTTTTGTGGAACTGAAAATGTTGATCGTGCATCTTTAACATGATTAAAAAGATTTTCTTGTTGTTGCTGTGGTGGTGGATCAAAACCTTGACTATTAAGACGAACATATTCTTGTTTTGTATTCATCAATTGTTTTTCATTATTATTATCATCATCATCAGATGATGATGATGAATTCTGAAGTGTATAAGTATTTCGACGAGGTTGATCTGTATAACGATGAACTTTTCTTGATGTTTCAGTAATGGATGAAGATTTTGTTAATGGATACATAACATAAGTTGATGTTTTAAGTTCATTACTAGTTGCAGATCGACCAATGCTTTTACTTGGATCAATCCATGTTGTACAATGTTCGAGATCATCTTGT